AATGGAATTTCCCATTGGGAACCTACTAGCACTAAGTTGCTAACTGGTTAGCAAGATGCTTCTGAGAAACTGGCAAAAATCAAACATGCTTGCGAACCTTCAGCCCCAACAATCCCGCCCTCTTTATAAACGACCAATCACATTCACTTTATTCACTCGTGTAAAGTCGGGCACCACTCGGTAGAATTCGGAACTGCAACGTTTGGAACAGCTTTTTCCCTACGACTTTAAATACATTACTAACTTTTGTTTTATTCTGATACTTCTTTACATCTTATTCTCATCACAGAAACATTGATTCAACAGCTGTTGCATTGAGTAGAGTTTTTAGATCAGTTGAATCCCCAGTCCAAAAACCTTTTAAAGCACATATTTAGTATGAACGCAAAGTTCATATCCCAACAAGTGGAATTAGAGAACACAATGCTAAATAAGAAGAATAAACAAAGCTTTGGAAGGAGAAGAGATAAACTATTTATATCCGTTTTTGAGGGTTAGAGCAAATGTTCAAAGATACACAACAGGTATTTATTTATTTATTTATTTATTAGCTGATAGATAGTTAAACATATTTCACATCATTCTTCAAAGTCCTTCATTTTTTCTTTGTGATTTTTAAATAATATCAAACTAAAGAAAAGAGAAGCAGAGCTAGACTTCTCTTAAGGAGACGGCTTTTTTATGTCACTTTAATACATAGAGAAAATATAGTTTCAATGTTCTTATGAAGATTAAACTCATGGCAGGCTTTCTACCATTTTTTTTCCATTTACATATTTATCAGTTTCTTGCTTTATAACTTGAGTTTAGTTGCACATGCAGATAAATGCACTTATGCAATTGGTCTAGATCAGTGAGGTTTAGGAATGGGTTTGAAACACAGTTTTCATTAATCCATTAACTCAGTAAGATAAAGGTTGGATAACAGGATAGATGGCGATATGAAATCTGAGCTTAAGCATCAGCTACTTTAAAAGTGATGATAATGTGGGATCAGATAAGCAATAATATGATTAGCAGACTGTCAGAGCTGTGAAAATGAGATTTTAATGGTGATGCTGATAAGTGAGTAAATATGTTGGTGACAAAATGTGTGATGGATCAGAAGAAAAAAACAAAAAACCACATGAAAGATAAAGAGTAAAGTCTTTTAACGACACACCCTGAATAATATATACCCGACTGAATGATATATAGCTTTTGCATTGGTACTTTTGTGTACCAACGCTTCAAAATATTTTCTGATCAACTTTAAAAACTGACATTAATGCAGTTTGTTTAAAACTGTTTTAAATCAGGGACAGAACAGTCACTGTTTGCATGAGTAAAACACATCCATTGGGGTATTATTCATAGCAAATGTCTATTTTTGTTGTTTTTTTATTTCTAAATAGTGAGAGAGACATTAGTTATTTTTTTCAATTCATTGAGGTGGTTCCACTTAATTTTTGGTTCCTTTACTGTAAAAATAAGCATTAGGCTTGGTCACATTGTGTTATTCAGTGAGCTTTACAGCTAGATTTTCTGTTATTTACATTTAAACTAGGAAATAAGCATGGATTAAAGTTCTGGTCCACTGTGCGAGGTACCACTTTAACGTGGTGGAGTTGTTTGAGTGCCCGAATAATCCTAGGAGCTATATTGTCCAGGGCTTTGCCGGTGCTATGCCCATGGTAGGGTCTCCCATAGCAAAAAGATCCTGGGTGACTAAGTATCAGACTAAGAGCAGCTCAGAAGACCCTTATGGAAAGAGTAAAATCAAGGACTTTGATGTTGCCCGGTATTGCATAGCCAGGGCCCCACCCTGGAGCCAGGCCTGGGGTTGGGGCTCGCATGTGAGCGCCTGGTTTCCGGGCCTTTGCCCACTGGGCACGGCCGGGACCAGCCCCAACGGATGACATTCACACATCTTTCTGCGGACCCACCATCCGCAGAGGGATCCATAGGGGTTGGGTGCTGGACTTGGTGAGGGTTGGGGCTGGGGGTGCCTCATAGGCTTGGTCAGCACAGGCAGCTTCTAGCTGTAGGGACGCAGAACATCACCTCGCTGGGGGAGAGAGCCTGAGCGGCACTGGCTGGAGATAGTCGGGCTCACCTCTACGCACAGCTTGGGTTTCGGATCCCATCCCCTGAAGTGAGGCTGGACGCTACACTTTTATGGCATTGCCCGCAAGGAGAGGTGTCAGGCTTGGGTGGTATTACACTTTGCCCCCCCATCTCAGTCATCATGTTTTGGAAGTTCACCCCCGAGAAGGAGAGGGTTGCATCCCTATGCCTTCGGGTTGGGGACAGGTCTTTTACCATTGTCTGGGCCTATGGGCCCAACATCAGTGCAGAGTACCCGACCTTCTTTGAGTGCTTGGAAGGGGTATTAGATGGTGCTCCCACTGGGGACACCATTGTTCTACTGGGGGTCTTCAACACCCACGTGGGCAGCAACAGTAAGACCTGGTCAGGGGTGTTCGGTAGCAACCCCCTCTCCAGTCTGAACCAGAGCAGTGTTCTGTTATTGGACTTCTGTGCTTATCACAGTTTGTCCGTTACGAATACCATCTTCGAACACAAGGGTCTCCATAAGTGCATGTGGCACCAGGACACCCTAGGCCAAAAGACTTTGTAGTTATGTCATCTGATCTCCAGGTGCGTGTCTCAGACACTCGGGTGAAGAGAGGAGCTGAGCTTTCAACCGATCACCACCTGGGGATGGTGAGCTGGATCCACTGGCAGGGGAGGAAGCTGGTCAGACCTGTCAAGCCTAAGCGTGCTGTGAGGGTCTGTTGGGAACATCTGGTGGATCCCTCTGTTAATGCAGTCTTTAACTTCCACCTCCAGATGAGTTTCTCCCAGATCCCAAGGAAGGTTGAAGACATGGAGTCAGAATGATCGATGTTCTCTTCCTCCATTGTCGATGCGGCCATTCTTAGCTGTGGCTGTAAGGTCTCTGGGGTCTGTCACAGTGGCAATCTCCGAACTTGGTGGTGGTGCCCGGTAGTAAGTGATGCCGTCAAGCAGAAGAAGGAGGCCTACCTTGTTAGCTAGTGGGACTCCGGAGTCAGTTGAGAGGCAGAGTCAAAATCTCAGTTCTGGGAGGAGTTCGGAGAGGCCATGGAGGAGAAAGATCAGTCGGCCTCAAAAGTGTTCTGGCAAACTGTCGGCCACCTTAGGAGGGGGAAGCAGTGCTTCACCAACACAGTGCAGGTGGGGAGATGGTGACCTCGACTGGTGATGTTGTTGGACAACCTCGGATCCAGGAGGAAAAATACGGTTTTCGTCCCGGTCGCGGCACACCGTACCCGAGATGAGGATCACCGCCTCCAAATCCGAGGCCATGATTCGCCACCGCAGAAAGGTGGTCTCCCCTCTTCAGGTCGGTGGAGAGTCCTTTACTCAAGTGGAGGAGTTCAAGTATCTTCGGGTCTTGTTCACGAGTGAGGTACAGATGGAGCATGAGATTGATTGGTGGATCGTGCGGCGTCAGCAGAGATGCGGTCGCTTTATCGGACTATCGTGGTGAAGAGGGAGCTAAGTTGGGGAGCAAAGCTATGGTCATGAGATCTGGGTAATGACTGGAAGTACAAGATCGCTAATACAAGCGGAAATCAGTTTCCTTCGCAGAGTGGCTGGGCGCACCCTTCGAGATCAGGTGCGGAGCTCAGTTACCCAGGAGCTGCTCGGAGTATAGTCGTTGCTCCTCCACGCCGAAAGCAGCTAGCTGAGATGCTCCGACATCTGTTCCAGATGGTCGCCTCCCTCAGAGGTGTTCCAGGTGCGTCCCATTCGGAGGAGGCCTAGTGGAAGGCCCAGGACACGCTGGATGGACTATGTCTGTGAGCTGGCCTGGGGTCGCATCGGGGTCCCCCCAGAGCAGCTGGAGGAGGTGTGTGTAGATCTGGAACTCTGGGCATCTCTGCTTAGACTGCTGCCTCCGGAACCTGGCCCAGGATAAAGCCGAAGAAAGGGATGGATGGATGGACGGACTGACGGACGGATGGATGGATGAAGTTACCAAACACAGATTGCAAGAATTTTGGCCAATTTTGACAGAAATGGTACTAAAAGATTAAGGTAGTTAGATTTCAAGGCCAGCTTGATTGCATTTACTTTAGCTCCACTCAGGATTTCTATTAAATCATAAGATCGGGGCTTTATAACTGTTGTTACAAAACATTATCTTAAGTGTCATTGAGGGTCTTTGTTACTTAACTGGCTGAAATCTTGCATTAGTTCTCCATATAGAGAAGTCATTTGTGGCCAGGCTCTAACATACTGTGAGCTGAGATGTTGCTTTAATATTTCTGCATAATTTACTTGTGGCTTTGGTGCATTTTCAGAGGCAATCTGCCTCTCCTTGATCTTCCTTTTAGAGTAATTGCCTCTTTTCTGCTGTGTGTCCATTATAGCCACATTACTACTGGATATGTTTCACTGCAAATAATAATGAACCCCAAGAAATGAAGATGAAGAAGACAAGAAATGAAAACCAAGATGTGTGGTACTCCAAAGTTCTCTGCAATAAATATTGAATGATTTAAATTTCCAGAGATCTTGCATTATAATACATTCACATCCATGCTACTGTTTAGGTCAAGTGTGGTAAACTAACCAGTCAGTGCCTTACAAAACCATGACATCCTCTTTACTTTGTTCAACAAGTGGAAAGTAACATCCGCTTACGTAAACCGTTCAATGCAAAGAAAAATACCAATATTTTCAATATGCAAACAAACATAAAAAAAGAAGAGGAAGAAGAAAGAAAGCATGAAGTCCTATTTAATGTAAGACAGTAGGATAAACTCATAGTTATGGATCTTTTTATACCACATATGTCATTCACACTATAACCAGAGGTGCAAGTTAAATACCTCCTTACTGCGTTCTTTGCTGCTGAATGCAAAGAACGCGGAGAGCGCTGAGTCAATGAATGCGATGTACTTTTCACAAGTTGGATTCTGGATTTAAAAAAAAGAAAACTGGGCTAAGATAAAATGCATTTTATGTCAGTCCCATGGAGACATTTTGACAAGATTGTTGAAAAACAATTTCTGCTGTATTGTCTTTTCCGTTAATGTGTGTGGTTTTGAGCACTGGATAAAAGCCTGGCAGTTTTGTGGCCTGTCAAATATTTAGATATAGCAATCCAGAGTTAGTGCTCAAAGTGCTGTTACTAAACTTTTGTGTTTAAGATGATGAAAGTAGGACACAGAATAAGAAGACGAGGAGCATCTGTGACTTTACCAAGGTGGGCTTGTCTCTTTTTAAACTATTTCAACAAAACTCTGTTATCACCCAATACCAATGCTAAATTAAGCAGTTTTTCATGATTAAATGTATATCTTATATCAGTTAACATATGTTTCTAGAGTTATAACGAGCCCAATTTATGTACACTACCAAAGAGGATTAGTATGATGTCACATTTAAAACGCCCGTGAGCAAAATAAACATACTTGCATTTATGTTATACATATAGATTATGCACAATAGCTGCACTATTCAAATTAGCCAAGTTTAACTTTGTTTTTAAGGTAATTTCGTTGGCTAGAGAGCCAAACATTGTGTGTGGATTTAACCAGTAGCAGCAAGACAATTTTGTTTAAGGAAGGTAAGGAAAACAAAGATACCCAACATGGATCTTAAATGTTTGTGGAAACTAGGGTAATTAGCAAGACATTATCTATAAGGATCTGATGGTTAGAAAATGACTTTATGTGCTGATTTTCTCATCATGGAATGATTTTATTACAAATATGCTGGATTACTTCTTATCTGTAGACCCTTACGGACAAATGGAATATAAACAATCTATGATTGGATCTATGATACGGCCTGAGGAACGCTTCAGATGTAAGAAGTCGGTAAGAATTTAACCAGTGTTATTTTCATGTGTACTGGTAATTTTGATTTAAATATAAAAAACGGTGCGCTGGAGAACTGCTGGGAGTTTAATGAAATTAATTCCCCCAGTGGCTGATAAAGGATTTGGTTTTAAAGTTTAGAGGAAACCACTTTTAGCTGCTGATCTGCACAGGGATATTAACTGTTCTTTTTAGGCCTTGAAAGGTCTAAGATTGTTCAATTCTCATAAACAGAGTAATACGGCTATGACGTGGACCCAGATGGGGCGGGTGGGGTCTTTGCTTTTAAGGCAAGTGTTTTTCTTCCAATTTGGGAGAAAATAAATTAATACTTTGCAGAACCAAAGGCATTCATTCCTCATATTTATGCCTGTAAGTGTAGTTATGCTTTTAGAAGACCTTGTTGACCTCAATATAAACCAAGATGTTCTCTTAAGGCTTTTGTCAGGTCTAAGCGCCTAAAACATCATACAGGGAAAGAAAGAAGGCACAGAGACAATAAATTTAGTTACTCGCGAGGAGAGCAGGAAGGAGACTGCAGAGTTTATGAATCTCCACCCCACTCTGCAGTCTTCAGCTTTCTCCTTGCCATTTATTGAAGAAAAGGGGATGTCCCTTTTCAAGTGAAGTGTACCTTTTTTGCCTCACTTGTATATCCAGTAAAGAAAAAAAATGGTATTAGCTTATTATTCTATAAGAAATAAAACAATAAATACATGTCAAAGAAATTTTTAGAGCACTATATTTTACATATAGAAATATCATATAAAATAAGAAGCAATGTTGGTTGTACTCGAAGGCAAAGAAAATAGTCAGGGAGTCAACACCTAACATAGGCATAATACTGTGTTTGCATTTGCAGAAAATATCAGTTGAAGCTGGTTGTCATAATTTTCTGAGTGGACGGATCTCGGACTGAGGAGTTCATTTCCGATCGAGACTTGCACGACAAAGCCACAGCCCACAGGAACATAAACACACCTGAAAAAACAATTGATTTTTTTAGCTAAACCAACATATATCAATGTATACCGATATTTAGTCACATATACTGACCTTGCAGAGAGTTAAAGATGGTGAAAATGTAGATTCCAGATAAAGTAGCATAAGTGAGGCTGGCCAATCCCCATGGTAACCCAAGGACCCAGCTAAGGCCCAGAACTGTGGTACCATCCTTCCATAACCTGGACCATTTGTTGCTGTTTGTCTTCTTCCAGTCGCTGCATTCATAGTCCCTTTGTCCACCTCTTATCTTCCAAACTTTAAACACCACCACCAGCAGCATGCAGGTATTATACAGCACAGTCAGGCAAAGAAAAGCCAGAGTGATGTACGAGACTACATGTCTCTGTTGGAACTCGCTGCTCATCCAGCATCTGCTCAGTGAGGATTAACAAAACATTGAAACTGGGGTCATCGGGGTGTTTCAGTGAATCTTGGTTGCACATGTAAACTGTGGTAGTTTCTTACATTTGCGATGGTGATGTGTTGTTATTGGAATCCCTTATTTCCAGAGTGTATCTGCCATAAACACCTAAACTCCCACAAATCACTGCAACAAGTGTAGGAAAGCCTGAGGAGACAGCAAGAGAAAGATCAAACCTCAGCTACATTAGTAAAATCAAAGTTAATCTGGTTTAACTTCACTCCTAAACTCACCCCATCCCACTATGGAGAGCTTTAGCAGGTATCTACTGACGTAGATGTTAAAGACTCTGATGAGGAGGAGATAAAGGTGGAATCCTTCCAGGGCAATCCAGGTAAACGTAGCCAGCAGAGACCAGTGCAAGAAGAAACCCAGACCTCGACAAACCCAGCCGCCCTGCTCCTCTTTAAGCAGATAAATCCAGAAACTTGAACTCAGGAAGCCGAGGTGGAGGCAAAGCAATGCCCCAGTCAGCTGCATGTGGATGCCGAGGGCCTTCTCGGGCCTCCGCCGACTGCAGGAGAAAAGCCAGCAATGCATTATTAGTTTTCTGAAAGTTGGAGTATTGTGGTGTAGAGCCACGTCAAGCAATCTATCAGGGATCAATCTGCTAATTACTGAACTGCAGTAGTTTGTTAATGAGGCATCTTAGGTTAATGAAAATCTTCTTTTAACTTGAGAGAAGCTGAAGGCCGCATGTCTTTGACGCGAGTGAAGTGAGGGACAGAGCTGCCCAGCAATCACTACCTGGGGGTGAGTTGGATACCCTAAAATAGGAGGAAGCCAGAAAGACTTGGTAGTCTCCAGCGAGTAGTGAGGGTGTGCTGGGAATATCTGGCGGAGCCCTTGGTCAGGGAAGTGTCCAACTCCCTCCTCTGAGAGAGTTTCTCCCAAATTCTGGGGGGAGGCTGGAGGCTGTTTCTCAAGTCACAACAACACGAGTACGGACTCACACTTCTCAGCCCTCCCGGGAGGGCCTATGCCTGGGTGCTGGAGAGGAGTCTGGCTGATTGCCGAACCTCAGTTCTCTCCTCACGACTAAGGAACGAATGGAATGGGAGTATGCTGATGAAGGTTCTCAGTCATCCAGGTCATAGTCATTCCGTAAAAATTCAAAAAATGTCCACTGGACTTGGTTTCCAAGATTTGAAGACGTTTCGCCACCTCTCCAGGAAGCTTTCTCAATTGAAATGTCTCAACATATTCTCATTATCAGTTCGTATGAAATCGTACGAAAAGTTATGCACACTTTTTCGTACGTTTTGGACATTTTTCCTCAAAAAACCCGATCAGTGCACATGCGCTGGCAGACAGAAAAAAAAAAGCAGATCCGCGGACGGACGTAAAACTGGGAAAAACAGTGCAATAATCACTTCTTCATGTCTCTAACTACGTTGCTTGCTGTTTTATATCTTAGGGTTAGGCGTTAGACACTCTCTCGATGACCCCCCCCACCCAGTCCGACGACCCGAGCAGTTGGTTAGGGGATCAAAGGCATTGCATGGGCCCACGCACGTTCGTTGGTATCTCTCAGATCCATAGCCAAGCCAGTTTGTAAAACTTGGAGAACTAGGGTTAGCTTTTAGAGTAATGGCTAGGTTTTAGGGTTAGGGCAAGGCTTAAAGTTAGGTTTAGGGCAAGTGTTAAGGCTAGGGGTCGGCTAAGTGTAATTCTAAGCCAAGGGTCAGGTGTTAGGGTTAGGCATGAATTCCACTAATATTAGGGTCAGTAGCTAATTGGTCTGGTAGTTGATAGTAAGGGCTAAAATTAGGTTTAGGGTTAGGGCTAATTGTTTTTTAAATTCTATGTTCTTGAATGGTGCGTAAGATCCGCATACCACGAAAAAAACGTCCAAAACGTATGAAATTACGGTGCATAACTTTTCGTACGATTTCATATGAACTCATAATGAGAATACACTGAATGTCTGGATCCGCAGTGAGTATAAGACTCAAACTCACTGCGGATCCAGACATTTGAATTGAGAAAGCTTCCTGGAGAGGTGGAGAAACGTCTTCAAATCTTGGAAACCATGTCCAGTGGATATTTTTTTAATTTTTACGAAATGGAATGGGAGATTGATAGATGGTGGGGATTCTGCTATAATGTGGATGCTGCACCGTATCTTTCGGTTAAGAAGCTGAGCAAAAAGGCAAAGCTCTCGATTTACTGCATGGTCTACGTTCCTATCCTCAGCTATGGTCATCTTATCTGGATCATGACCAAAAGACTGAGATACAAGCGGCTGAAACGAGCTTTCCCCGCGGAGTTTAGCACAACTGCTGAGTGGGGTTTCATTTGATATCATTCCGGTCATTTCTTTAGCGATGGGGGGAGGAGCTTCGTTATTGTGTAGAGGCTCAGAGTAGAGCCGCTTCTCCACATTGAGAGGAGTCCGCTCAGGTGGCTTGGACATCTTTTTTTTAATGCCCCATGGATCTTTTCCTCAGGATCTCACCGGGTGGAGGTCCAGGGGACACCCCAGGACATGCTGGAGGAACTATGACTCTTGGCTGTCCTGGGAGCGCCGCCAATATCTGGGGAGAGGCTGCTGAGACTGCTGCACCCGCAACCCAGACCCAGATGAAGCAGAAGAAGACGAGTACGAGAGCAAGGCTACAGCTAAAGCCTAATCCAAAGGGGATCAAGTTTTTTTAAATGGTACTTTATGAGCCCTTCCCACTGTTACGTTGATGGGGCTTGGCTACCTTATCATTTTTGTTTACACACAGAAAATGGAGATAAGAGGTGTTAAACTACAAATGAACTTTCGGGGAAACAGGTTTTGAGAACAGGATGTATTACATAAGATAGAAAAAGAGATCAAAGTTGACCTTCTTTTTCTGCATTTTTACACTTTCACTCATCAGTCAGAAAGATTTCTTTAAAGTTTTACATGTTCTGTCCCCAGAGAGTGTTAAACACTCAATGCAAATCTAGAAACTGCTTTAAAATTTACAAATGCATAAAACTTTTCTTAAAAACAATATGATTCCTAAATACTCTTCTTACACTTAGAACTTTGTGTCTTAGAGCTTTGGTAAAAATAAAGCATTGTGAAGACCAAAGATAAACCTAACTCTCAAACTTCAACATATTTGTGAAGTTTGAAAGTATGATTTTCAATAAATTACCAAATCTAAATAAATGTATTTATTCCTACATGAGCAATAAACATGGAGTCTAATTTAAAGTAGGACAACTTACTGCAGATGAACATAGATGAACAGGCTGCCGAATGCAAAGAAGGCAGAGAGCGCTGAGCCGACGTAGGTGATGTAACTGAGGGTTTTGGCGCTGCTTTCATCCACCTTTAAGTTTGGATTCTGGACAGGAAAAAAAACATAGGGCTTAGTTGAAATACAAACTACACCATTCCTTTGGAGATGTTTCATCAATGTCATTTATTCTGCCTTTTATCTCCTAGACTCTAAGCTAATTACAAGTCATTGTCATAAAGGCGACCAGTGTGTAAAAATAAGAAAAGATTGACTTATTAAATGATTTTTGTTGGGAATGGTGACATTCATTCTCATTTTTTTCCCATTAGCATGTGTGATTTTAGCCCCTGTATAAAGCCTGGCAGCTTAGTGTCCTTTAAAATATCCAAAAAAGGGAGCATAGTGTCAGAGGTAAAAAAAAACTGTGTTATTAAGCTTATTTGTAAGATAAAGAAAGTAAGACAGACAGAATGTCAAGAAGATTAGCATTCATAACTAACAATGTGGCTTTACCTCTTTTTGTGATGTTTTCCATCCTAACCTTCAGTACTACAGGTTAATATGGGAATTTCTGTGTTTCGCAATAATTGGGCCAACTCTCTGTCTTTGAGGACACTTGCAGGAAGCGCATTTAGAGGAAGGCAAGACCTTTGTTGCATTTTGTCGCTGACTCTTTAGCAATCCCTCACACCGAGCATGCATGTAGCGACATTGGAGAAGAAAAAAACTCCCTTTTAATGGTAAGAAACTTCTAGCAGAACCAGGGTCAGTATGAGCGACCCTCTGGCGTTCAAGGAGACAGAAGCAGATAAACAAAAGGTAACTGTTAACTGGCTCAGGCAGACGAGCTCCAAGCAGCTTTTGCTAGTCATAGAAAAAGAAACAAGACTACCCTGGAAACAGGCCAAGCTCTAATATATATACAGAGATGTCAAAATCAGCAGCACAGCTGATGTTTAAATCCAGGATGAGTTAAGAGCCAAACAGGGTCAGACCAGATGAAGCTATTATGATGAGAAAAAGCAGAGAGAGCAAAAAGTAATGAGTAAAACTTGACAAATACCACAGAATGGGAGAATAGGGATTTAAGAATTAAGCAGGATCCACATAGGGAAAGTGGTCCCTATGTGATTCAGCAGCCTAATGTTATAGCAGCCCAAATAGAGAAATAGCTCAGAACAAGTCAACTTAGATGAGTTATAGAAAAGGTAGAAGTACAATAGAGCCAAAGCAGACCCAACCAGAACAACCAGGTTCAAAACAAACTTTTCTTCAGCTGAGGTCTTGCACCTGGATTTAGCCGCTTGATTATCTCCCCAAGAACTCATACAGATATAAATAGATTGCCCCCATTACCGACTGCTTCTACAGTTACACTTCTGGGTAGTTAGTTCTCCAGTTTCCTTCCACTGTCTAAAATGTGACTGTCAGGTTAACTGGCTTCCATAAATTGTCCTGTCTGTGTTCCTGGTTGTATGTCTCTGTTTGTCTATTTGTTGCCTTAAGCCTGGCAGCCTGTCCAGGTTGTACCCCACTGTTTGCCCAAAGACTATCGGCCCCACTGCTGCCTGGAGGATGAAGCGGGAGAAGACGGATGGATGAGGTGTTGTCTTGTTACAGCTATGTCTTCAACAAAAACTCAAACTTCAACATATTTGCAGATTGTTTGACAGACTGTCACTAACAGGGTGCTTTTATAAATCCCATGCATGTAACTCGATCTAGAAGTCAGCTATCAAGTAAACCCCCGAAGGATGTTAAATTAAATATCCGCTGACATGTGAAGCAGTTAACATCAGTTTAAAAAACAGTTCTAGGGGAAACTACAAAGCTATATAAAATGTCGCTGTACCATACCTAAATAGACAGACCGGGTATTGATAGTGTTAATCAGAGAATCAGCCAATTAAACAGATTTGTAAATAAACATTTCCTTCAATTTTTCAATTGTGCCTTACTTTATAAACAATGACTGAATATTAAAGTTTAGATCACCGTATGTACGTAAAAACATATTTTGGTTCCTACTCCCTCTGTTTTGCATAGAAATCCAATGCTTAGTTTGGATGATGGTTTGATTTGACAAAAAAAAACTAATTTACCACGAGCACCGCAAAAAAGCTGAGATGGTTACAACTGCAAATAAACTCCTCATCAGTTTTGGTGGTTTCACACCCCTCGGTACTCCATTTCCCTGAAAGAAAATCAGACAAACATAAACCCTGAGCTGATGCCTTGCTTTAGACGTAGAAGAGTTGTTTTCACATCACACACCTGCTTCATGCATAGGATCTGACTCCTTCCAAAACACACACCTCCCACTTTTCTCCTGAAACAAAGGAAGGGGATTAAACAGAAGGAAAGCGTTTTCTGTACAGCATTTTTTTTTAAATCATATTTATTTTGTTACCCCTATGTCGTGTTTGAAGAATAACTGGACAGGTTCTGTAAGGTTGCTGACTGGCTGAGTTCCAGCCTTCAAAAATAGGACAAGGTCCCCTAAAACAGTTTCCTGCATGCTGACAGGCTGCTGGGGAATCAGGCCTCTTCCTCTGCTCCGAGGTTTTTGCTGTAAAACAGTACAAATATCTCAGTTGCCTACTAAAAGAACACAATTTTAAATTAAATGCAAATTAGCACAAAGAATGGAACAGTATATTGAATTTAAGGTATAAAGTGGAAGATCATACAACTCTGTAAAGTCCGTAACACTTGATAGTTTAGAGCAGGCATCCCCAAACTCGGTCCTCAAGGCCCCCTGTCCTGCAGGTTTTAGAGGTTTCTCTGCTTCAGCACAGCTGGTTATGATGATTGCAGTAGACCAAAAGCCAGTTAATCAGCTTTCAATTAAAATCAGCTGTGCTGGAGCAAGGAAACCTCTAAAACCTTCAGGACAGGGGGCCTTGAGGACCGAGTTTGGGAATGCCTTGTTTAGAGGATCCCACCTGAAAGAAACTGCTGCCTATCACAGAGGCAACCAGCACGACATCATTCTGTGACCCTGATCTTCTGCTTCTCCGAAGAGCCGAGGAGGGAATTCGGACCCTGTGTTTGGGTGTAGGGTTTTCTTCAGCCTTAAAACCAGAATCACAAACAAGAAAATAAATTTGCTTTTTTTAAAAACCAATTATGTTAAAGAATACTTCCTGTAAATATAGTCTTTTGATTTATGTCCCAATAAAAAAATATTCCAGGACCAAAGGGACAGAAGCTTTAAGAGACAAGCGTGAATAAATAAATAAACTAAGGACCTAATGAAAACTGCCAACCAACTAAAAAGCTTCAGTAATGGGAAAACATTGTTTTATTTCCTCAGTTATTAAGATATTTGTAGTAGTTTTGTGCAAAAAAAATAATAATAATAATGTTTAATATGAGCGAGATGCAGATCATTTATTTTTATTTAGTTATATTTACAGTACATGAAGAAAAACTAAAATTAGTTTTAGATTATACATATAAAGATGAACATATTCTGCAGGAAAAATGAATTACCTTAGGTTTAGAATTAGCATTTAATCGATAACAACCTAATGAGCCTACTGGCATTATCTGAAGCCATTCTATGGGCCTGATAGCCGCTTATAACGGCCATTTATTGGGATGATAACATCCGAAGCACGGCTGCAAACAGACACTTTACTGTGTAAAATAAGACTGAATCAACATGAGGAGGGACCCATGATGATCCACAGCTTCTATATATTAGAACAACGTTTTTAGACTTTAGTTTCACCTGCTGCCAGAAGATTTTACCTAAAAGGATACACTGATCTACTACCATTCAAGAAATAATCCCGTAATATTTTTATGGTAGCAACATCTATAGCAAACAGTTTTGATATGTACTAGTTTTACTGAATATGTATTCCTGAAATTTGAAAAAAAAAAAAATTTTTTTTTGTCTAAATGACAAAGAAAAGAAAGACAAAGAACGCCATTTCAAATAAAAAGACATTCCCCAAATCTAGAATAAATATCCTGGATGTCTATAAATTAATTCCAGATCTCCATATTCCTAATATTACTGGTCAGCATTTTTATTATTTTAACTATGAAAAGACATTTATCAGATATCATAAATACATTTTCAGTCAAGCCGATAAATGTCAGAATGACCAATTAAAATGTGTAAACATTTCTAGATAAATAAAACTTAATTCTTAATACTTAATTTAGGAAACATATTATTCCAGTTATTAGGAAGAATCTTATTTTAGTGATCTACAAATGGAACAACAGAGAGGAGTGCTTTAAATAAATGTAAAAACGGCCTGCCATAGCCCACTTCCTATGAACTTATTCATTAACTCGGGCAACAATCTTCTCGTTTCCCATCATCCTCTCCTTTGTAGCTGTAGCTCTGTTTCTGTCTTTTAAACATATTTTTTTCTAATTTTTGCATTAAAATCTCTATTTCCATTGGGGTGAAATAGGCACTTCCTGTTGCCTGTTGTTATGGTGACTCGTCGAATCGGTGCTCCACTTATAATGGCTTTTCATACTTGTTGTGCACATGCTAAACTGAGTGAACCTAGTTAAATTTGATTGAACTAATTGAACTAGCAGCCGTTGTGAAACCAAACACTCAGAGTTCCTGACTTTAGGCTAGATTAATGTAGAGTTGCTGATTTGAATCTGAGTTTTTTTAAACCTGCTTCAGGAAACGAAGGATTTTAAATGTAATATAGAATATAGATTTAACAGGAAGACTTTTAAGAGAAGCTAAGACATGAGAAGTGTGATCTCTCTTTTTAATTTTCATTAGAACTCTGGCTGCAGCATTTTGGATCAGCTGAAGGCTTTTAACTACAGTTTGTGGACTTCCTGATAGTAAAGAATTACAATAGTCCAGCCTTGAAGTAACAAATGCATGGACTAGTTTCTCAGCATCACCCCTGGACAGGAGATTGCTCATTTTTGCAATATTCCTCAGATGAAAGAAGGAAATTCTAGAAACCTCTTTGATCTGGGATTTAAATGACAGGTCCTGATCAGACATGCCTGTAGTCTATGTAAAGGTTTAGTTTCATCAGGATTTACAGGCAGATATAGCCACCGGTTCTTATTTACTATTAATCAATAATTATCATTAATTATTAATAATTATTAATAATGAGAAATTTGCTGCTCTTGCAGTACGAAGAGTCCTTTTATACAGCAGTAAACTGTTTTTTTCAGACTAGGTACAGTAGGATTCCATGTACAGCACCATGTTCTATCCAGTAACACAGAGCAAACCAGATATCCTCACCTTTTAAGGCAAAAGTAGCAGAAATTGTTCACTGGAGAGTTTCTTTGAACAATACCCAGCAAAAAGTAAGCAAACAGAACTAAAGCAGAAAATGACAAAAATAGGAAAATATGTGTAACCATAGAGTTTCATTCCACCTGCCTCCGTTTCGTTGTTTTCTTGGCTGTTTTTCCACTCTACTCTCTCCTGCTAATTAGAGTGAGCAGATACACTTGCCTCTCTCCTAATCACCCTCGTTTTTGAAAGTTGTCATTCTGTTAATTGATACCTACCACTCCTAGTCTGTCTCTGCCAGATTGTCTCTGCATCTCTAGGAGCTTCGCTCCAAACTACCTGGACTTCCTCTGCCTTCCTCAGAGTGTTCAGTCTGTTATCAACCTGTTCAACCAGTTTAACTTTCCACCATAATGTTCTGCCTTCATCCAGTTAGGATGTTCATGTTTAATACACAACAACGTGTACGACTCAAGAAGTGAGTCAAAACGCAACCATAAAACCTGCAGGACCTGATAATTATAAA